AGCTCTGAGCGCTTTACACCAATCACATAATCATTCACACAAGAAAAAATATTTCACAGAAACAAGAAAAACCAGTCCAACCACATAAAGAAGAACTTTCACAACCATACATTAACCATACTACACGACAGGAAATTAACCCCCCCCCCCGAAAAAACAACAACCAAACAACGTTACTGTACTCACTGTGAATTTGATCTCCATGTTTTCCACACGAGCTATATCAGAGGAAAAAAGATCGATATAGTCAGAAATATAATAACCACTTTCAATACAGGTTAAAAAAAATTAATGTTATGGAATGGAGAGAGATCAGATATGGGGTGTATGCAGAGGGTGTATTTTAGGAATCTTTTTTGCGGGCTTACTATTTTTGTGAGGCATTGTGGTGGAATCAGGCTCTCGTCAAAATAATCAAAGTGAAGAAACTTTCATTTTTCCGCAGGTTTATGAATTTCTATCAAATTTTTGTTTTTTGGTTCAACACCTTTCATGCCCATTAAAGAACTCATTTCTGTGTGGAATTTTCTGAAAAACGTTGATTAAAGGCACAAAAAATGTAAATTTTCAGTTACCACGGACTATTAAGATAAGGAAATAACTAATCTTTCACGGCCATTTCCTCACCACTTTTACCTCTGAAAACAGGTGACCCCCACCTCCTTCATTTGCAAATATCTTGACTTAAATTCAAGATAAATGGATATTTTTTCCATCCAAAAAAAGACGAGTGAACAAGCTTTAAGATGATACCAATAACTCTACATGCCCAAAAATTGACGAGAGCCTGATTCCACTATGATGCCTCACATTTTCTCTAGAGGGTGCGGTGGCGGAGTGGTTAGTGCGCTCGTCTCCGAAGCGGAAAGTCCGGGTTCGAGCCTCGGTTCGGACACTGCTTTTTTTCGCCCCCTCCTGTCCACCCAGCAGTAATGGGTACCTGACTTCGAGTTGGGAAGTAAAGGCGGCGTGGAAAGGAACTGGCCACCCTACTACAATATGCCGAAGGCCCAGGAAGTTGTCTCACTAACAAGGCAATCCCCATTGTCCGGATCGGATGCGGGAACAACTTTTTACTATTTTCCTTAAAAGATGTTTTAGTAAGACCTTTAATTACGGGGCATGCAACACAATTAAGTCATATAAATGGCAGCGAGTCGATGTGTTACAAGAGAGTAATGCACTTTAAAAGAAGGAGGAGAGTTACGGGTAATAGGTGTTTGATAGGAGAGAAGGGGCAATCCATACC